ATAAGAAGGTGGCACCAGATCCACTGGAGCTGGAGTTACAGTTGTTTATTTTTGAGCCACCATGATCCTGGCAATGGAATCTGAGGCTTGAGTAGCACATGGGTACATGCTCATCACTACAGCCATCTCTCCAGTCCTGAATAATGACAGTACTTACAAGCCTATTGCCTGCTAGGATACCATCTTTGAAAACTTCCTCAGTTAGCATTTTCACATTTTAATTGAACTGTTAATGCTCTTCTTATTGATTTGTGGTGTTTATTTATACTTCCTAGTTACAAGTCTTTGATTGTAACTATGTGTTATATCTTTTCCCACTGGGGAAATTTCTTTATATTTTTCAGAATAAGGTTATGAAGTTCAGAACTTTTAACTGGAATGGGGTCTAAAACAATTACATCTTCCATTGCACTTCGTGCATTTTGCTTGCTCCTTTAGGGAAATGTCTGGAGAGCTACAAAGATGACACCAACTAACAATCTAAGCAACAGAGGATAGGCTACCTTAAATGCCCTCCCCTGATAATGAGATTGATGACTAATTTATATGCCACCTATAGGCTTCATCCAGCAGCTGGTGAAAATAGAAGCAGACACCCACAGATAAACACTGAACTGAAGTGGGAATCCAGTTGCAGAGAAGGAGGGGTGATGAGCAAAGGGGTCAAGACCAGGCTGGTGAAACCCAGAGAAACAGCTGACCTGAACAAGGGGGAGCTCTTGGTTCCCAGACTGATAGATGGGAAACCAGCATGGGGCTGATCTAGACTCCATGAATGTGGGTTTCAGTGAGGAGACCTCGGAAATCTATGGGGCCCCTTGGAGTGGATCACTATTTATCCCCAGCATAGAAACAGACTTTGGGAGCCCATCCCACATGGAGGGATACTCCCTGAGCCTAGATACAAGGGGGTGGGCCTAGGATATGACAGACTCTGAAAACCCCCTATGGGGTTTTCTGCTCCCTGGGGGGCAGAAAAGGTATGGGATAGGTAGGGTGTTAGTTGGGGGGAGGGGAGGAGGGAAGTAAGAGGGACCTGGGATAAACATATAAAATCATCTTCTTTTTAATTAAAATAAAAAAATAAAAAATACAAATAAAGACCTTGCCGGGCATTGGTGGCTCATGCCTTTAATCCCAGCACTTGGGAGGCAGAGGCAGGGAGATCTCTGTGGGTTCGAGGCAAGCCTGGTCTCCAGAGCAAGTGCCAGGATAGGCTCCAAAGCTACACAGAGAAACCCTGTCTCGAAATAAATAAATAAGTAAATAAATAAATAAATAAATAAATAAAGACCTTGATCAGACTCAAGCACATGAAGGTACTTTAATTTGTATTTTACCACAGTTGGTTTTATGTTACATTGACAATAGAATTACTTTGCGTATGATATGAGGATAAAAATCCATATATACCTATAGGATTACATAGTACCTACACAATTTATTGCAAATATTATAATTTAATCTATTGAAGTTAAACACATATACACACTTATATACTATAAACACATGTGTATGTTTATTACCTATTCATTCCCTGCTTGGTTTTTGTACGGATAGCTATATAATAAATCTATCCATAACTTATCCCAGTTTTGTTTTTTAATTGACTATATTTAATGATATGTATATACACATGTTCATTCACATACCAAAATATATGTGTGAAGGTCAAAAGAAAACTTACCAATGTTGGTTCTCTTGTTTTACCACATAGGTCCCAAGGATTGCATTCAAATCATCAGGCTTGGTAACAAGCACCTTCATTAACCAAACCATGTATCCAGTACTAAGTCATCCAAAGTTGGGAAGCATCTTCCAGATATTTTTTAATTTAAATTAGAAACAAGCTTCTTTTACAGGTCAATCTCAGTACCCTCTCCTTCCCCTCCTCCCCTGCCTCCCATCGACCCCCTTATCCCAACTCCTTTCTGCTCCCTAGGGAGGGTGAGGCCTTCCATGGGTGATCTTAAAGTCTGTCATATCATTAAGAGCAGGGTCTAGACCCTCCCCAGTGTGTCTAGGCTGCAAGAGTATCCCTCTATGATGAGAGGGCTCCCAAAGTTCATTTGTGTTCTGGGGTAAATTCTGATCCACTACCATTGGCCCCATAGATTGTCCAGACCTCCAAACTGACTTTCTCCTTCAAGGGGTGTGTATCAGTCCTATGCTGGTTTCCCAGCTATCAGTCTGGGGTCCATGAGCAACCCCTTGTTCAGATCAGCTGTTTCTGTGGGTTTCTCTAGTCTGGTCTTGACCCCTTGGCTCATCATTCCTTCGTCTCTGCAATCAAACCATGTAGTAGCTGGTTCCCTCCGAATTTTCCCTCAGGAGAATTGGCTCTCTTGCAACCGGATGCAGTTTTATCCGGTAAAGTGAATGATCAGACATCTTGAAGCTGAAACTATCCCAAACTTTTCTCAACTATTCTCAACCTATTTCTCAACCTATTCTCAAACTTTTTTTGTTTGTTTGGTTGATTGGTTGGTTGGTTTTTCAAGACAGGGTTTCTCTGGGCTTTGGAGGCTCTCCTGGAACTAGATCTTATAGTCCAAGCTGGTCTCAAACTCACAGAGATCCATCTGCCTCTGCCTTCCGAGTGCTGGGTGTGCCACCACCACTTGGCTTTCCAGATAATTTTTACTGTTCTTTATTGTTTAACTATCAAATTCTCAGGTAATTTCTAATAGTTTCTTAAACATTAACACAAAAATTATTGGAAATTTTTATTAGGATTGTCTTGCACCCAGGTCAATATGGAGAATTTGACATCTTTTCATAATATCAAACCTCTCTATCCATGGACATGATACACTTCTTTGTTCATTTATGGTCATTTTAAAAACAGATCAGATGCATTGCAGTTTCCAGGGTAGAACTACTGAAAATAAGCTGTCAAATTTGTCTGTAAATATTTGGTGAATTTTGATGCTACTATAAATTACCTTTAATATTATATTCGTAAATTTTCTCAATCATTGTCTTTTTTTTCTTGGTGACCTAACCTGTTTTTCTTATTTCTAGCTCCTCAGCCTGTATTCAGATGAGGGATTTAGTGTCTGATCTACCATATAATACAATGTGACAGATGGATTCCCAAAATTATCTGGGAAACCTCAGTGTGAAATAGATAATGGATTCATCCTGATGAATTTTTTTCATCTCTCAGATAGTCAACGGCTTTCCAGCCTACCTGGCAGAGATTTCTACCCTCCCTCCTTTATATTCCCTCCCCTCTCCTTAACTTTGTTTCTTTTTCTCCCTCTCTCCATCTCCTTCCCTCTGTGTATTTGGATTGCTATAAGCTAATCAATCACAGCCTGAAGCAGATTATCTCAGATAGCTCACATGGATAGGAATAATGCTACTTGGCCTAAAATGACTTGTGATTTTCTAGTTTCAATAAGGAATTTTTAAGAATTAGTTCATAGGGGGCTGGAGAGATGGCTCAGAGGTTAAGAGCACTGGATGCTCTTCCAGAGGTTGTGAGTTCAATTCCCAGCACCCACATGGTGGCTCACAACCATCCATAATGAGATCTGGTGCCCTCTTCTGCCCTGCAGGGATTCAGGCAGGAGGAACTATGTATACATAAAAAATAAATCTAAAAAAAAGAAAAGAATCAGTTCATAGAAGCCTGGGAACAATTAAAGACAATGACTTAGAAATATTAACTTAAAATATTTATGATTTCATTACACACACATTCCTATATAAATACATATATAATATTCTTAAATATACAATACATTAAATATATATTACTGTACAATTAAAGAAGGAGAGGTCATGAATTTGAATGTGAGTAAGGGAGGAGTCATGGGGTGGCTTCAAGGGAAGAAATGGAAGTGGGAAATTGTAGAATTACAGTATCAAAATATTACTAATTAGAAGAAAAATAGCTATGGTTTTGATCAAACATGGAAAAACAGTCTTAACTCCTTCATCTTTCTCTACTGTCACACTCCAAATCTTCTGAATTTGCTTTTCAAATTCTTAATCCTTGTCCTGCCATTTGTGTCTCCCTTTACTGAAAAGACTGCGTATAACTGTAAATTTCTTATGAATGAGTATCCTTAATTCCACAACAATCAACCGAATAGAATGTACATATGTGGCCATGTATATGCCAGGTCACTCAAGCATATTAAAGGTTGATGGCCACCGGCTATTGGAAGAGGAACCTGGAGATTAACCTTGTATACTTCAGTGCTAATTTTATTACATTCACTTAAAAATCCTGTTATCTCCATCAAAGTCAGTACATTGCTGGCTGAATTTTAGTGTGCAGAAAATGTCGTTGAAGACATGATGACAGCCAAGTTTAATAACTGAGTTAATTTATTTAACACACTTATTTTTAGAAATATCTACTTAGTTCCAAGATGGCAACTTTGCCTTCGTACAGTCCTAAGTACATAGAACACACTTTTCTTTTATTCTCCACCTACATAGTCTGAAATTTCAGACAAAGACCATTTGTCAAAGAGTAATCAGTGTTCATAATGATATTGTCATTGTGTTACCAAGATACAAAGTCTTAACTGTCAAAGAAGTTATAATAATTTTTACCTTGGTGCTGTATTTGATCAGTATATTTAACCAACCTGCTGACTTTGGAAAGAAAAGCAATGATGTCAGGTTGAGAGAAGCAGAAGAACATCCTTTGATGACTTGGTTAAGTCTCTGTGTTAAATTATTCTGGGGAAACCATTCTCTCGTTTTGAGAATGTATTCTCCTAACAATGCCAATAAGGCAGAGTTAAATCCAAAGAGAGCCACTGATGGAAAGGAGTGAAAAACAATTTGAAGTAAATGAAAATGGGAAAACTGTCAGGGAAAGACATGATAACAGTAGACATGAAGCAGAAAGTAGAATAAAATAACAAACACACTTGACTAAACTTGAGAGTGTGAACCAGCATATGCAATCAAAGCCATGATATTGTAGTAATATCACTTGCCCTACAGAACAGAGAATGGGCAGGAGTCAGCCTTACCTCTTCCAGTTGCACCATTAGAGTGACATTGTGTCCTTGTTCCGCTGTCAGTTTTCCATCTGCAGTGACAATCCGGAGCCCTCGAGGGGCCTTCCCTGGACACTTCTGTGGTTTGGCAGTATACTGCTCCCTCACTCCATCAGTACAGTTATTGGAGACCACCTTCCTATAACTAAGGGCAGAAAAACACAAGTTATACATCAGTTCATATAACTCATATTACTACTGAAATTTTCAGCTAGACCTATAGCCTAGCATGAGGACCAGTAACCTCCTAACTGCCTACCTTTCATGCTGCTAGCAGTAATGAGATGATTCATATAAAGTAACTGCTATTGTTTGAATGTAGAATGTCCTGTATAGGATCATTGGTATGAACACATGGTACCCAGCTGGTGTTGCTGCTTCAGGAGGTGGTGGGACTATTTTTTTTTTGCAGGGGGCCTATGAGGCGACCTGTTACTGAGGGTGAGCCTTAAAGTTGGTGTTCTTTGGTTCCTGATCAATCAAGATGCAAACAAGCTGCATTGACATCTCCAATTGCCATTTATTACCTGACATGAGGAACTGTATCTCTCAAACTGTGAATGAAACAATGTTCTCCTACCTTAAGCTGCTTGTAATGGATTTGACACACCATAGAAAAACAGGTAAAACAGACCAAAAACACTACCTGTAATTTGCATTTTCATGGACTTTTAAAAACTGTTTTTATTGTGTGTGTGTGTGTGTGTGTGTGTGTGTGTACATGAGTGTATGTATGTACACCCCAAGGAAGCAAGTTTCTATGGAGGTCAGAAGGGGGCACTGCCTCTCTTGGAACTGAAGTCACAGCTGGCTGTGAAGCACATTTGTAGGCCGCCATAAAATTCTTTTATTCACCTACTCAGCAGATGAATCATTTCTTCATTGGGAGCTGTGAGGTATCCACAGAGGAGAGGACATGATCTGTGGTATCACTGTGTTAGCAATCAGTTGACAATACATAAGGAGATAATTTAGGTGATGATTCAAAGAACACATAATTATGAATTACAAAAGGTACCGTGATTGTCCTCTCTTGCCCCCCAGTACATATTCCAGGACATACAGTGAGACATCTATGATGGCAGATAGAACCAAACTCTGAAACAAGGGTACTTTTTCCTATAAATGAAAATTAATTCATAAATTAAGCATAACAATCTACTAAAATGAAAACTAATGGTAAAGTAAACACCGATAATAATGACCGTCATAAAATTACACCTTTGATCATGATGTAAAAATATGCTATGTCTATATGATTAGATGAAATTATGTGAGTGATACAGACATGGAAAGGCTTGAAGTTTCCTGAAGAATCAGGAAAGAGTTAATCCCAGATGCAACATGTGAACCATTCATCCCTGTGATTTTCCATCCCTGTGGTTGAGCCTGGGTAGCTAAATCTGTGGAATGTGAAGCTATGGATAAGGAGAGTAAGGATAAGTGAACATATTATAAGGCTATTTGAAATAGAGAGAAAACATAGGTTATTATGGGTGTGTGATTCAAACTGAAGCCAAGGGTACCAGTAGCAGCAAAGAGCAGGAAAAGATGGCAAGATTTGATAATATCAGCTCATTCTTTCAGGAATGTTTATTCTGATTAAGCCCTGGAAGCCTTATTGTGAAGAGACATAAACATTTTCAGACTAAGTAAATCCACTACACCATTGACTTCATTCTAGATTTAACCATAACAGAGACAATGAACCCTTGTACAAATTTATCCTATACAATTCATTGTATCTGTGGTAAATTAAGCCTGTGATTTTAGAACAGCAACCTTAGGAATTCTGAGGTTCTGTGTCACCTACTGCAGTGTGTGCAATGGGTCCTTTACGCATGGATGCACCTGATTTCCCAAACCTACCTTTTTAGGGTTTGTTACATCAAGCTTTCCACTGTTCTCAACTAAAGGTTAGATTGTAAATCTTGAGACTGGCATAGACTATATGTAAAAGAATGGACAAACTCAGCTCCCTGTTAATGCTCATTCATTACATCACTGGTAGTGGACTGGACGTGGCCTGCAGGTACTTTTCTACTCCACTGACACCTAACAAGGATTTCCTCTATGGGCATGGCTCCTGACTGACTACTTAAGACTAGAGCTGAGAAACAAATGAGATGCTTTTTGTTAAAGATCTTCAAACATGGTGGATTAGGACTAAGTTGATAATTAATACTTAATTCACCTTGTAGGATAGTTACAAGAATAAATGAATTAAGGTACAAAGGTTAAATTGGTAAGTGCTGATGAACTATTACCAACTATTTTATTTAAAAATACTATGACTTCAGCTTCCCGTTCCCAACCTGCTCAGCATTCAACCAGCCTCGGGACATGTTGCAAATCCTCTAAGCCACCACTTAATGCTCTCTACAAGCCTTCTACCTACTTTCTGCCTCTATGAACTCTTTCTTCCAAGCAAGCTCATTTGGCTCCAGCCAAATCTTTCCCACTAATCCCCTAGAAAGCATTAGTTTGTTCTGCATGCTCCACCTGCTGCCTAGAGCTTACCCACTCTTTACAGTACCGCTTGCCTCTTATGCTCTCAGAAATAATTTCCTGACTAGAATGGGAAAACAGCAACAACAAAATAGAAATTTATATTACATAATTATTCCTGGGCTCTTATTCTGGTACAGGTTCTCTGCATGACTTCCCGCATTTATACTCAACATGTCCTTAGTGAGGAAGCCATCACCATCGTTCCCAATATGTAGAGAGAGAAGCTGAGACTTAGAAGTATTAACTAATATTCTAAATACAGCCAAGGTTGTGGATCATTGGTCATATGAGCATATACTTTCTCTTCTACCACAGTTCAGTGTCTCTTTAAATGGAGTGAGATTGATCTGACCTCTTGAGACTTAAGAGTTTATTTACATGCTAGAATCCCTTGCATGATTTTCTTCCTATATGTGACTTTGAAGTGTAAGCTCTTTGGTGGTCTCCCTGTATCACACATACATGCGAGGTTATGCAACATTGAGTGCACTCTGGCATGACTGTATCAACTTAAAAGATGAAATGCCTGCAGGGTAGTAGGTTATCACCATTGGCTCAAATGCTTCACCCACCGATAAATGTGTGTGGATTCTGTCCTCTCTTGATGGTCCAACACCTAAGAATTTAACATCTGGACCAACAGGGGGCCTCCTTTTCATTAACATTAAGATCACTGTCCATTGAGAAGGGTCATAGGTGTTTATGAGTATATGCTGACATTAAAAAGAGAGATAGCAAGAGTAAAGATAGAAAGAAAAAGAAGTAAAGAAGAAACTAGTGTAGGTATTGGGAAATGATAACATTCTGGTACCAGCAAAGATGGGAAGAAACTGATCAACAATGCCTTTTGGGATAATAAACATCTCGGTATGTTTAACTGCATCAAAGCTTCACTAATGTTTCAGCAGCAAAGCTCTGTGCAAATGGAAGGTGGTCCTGAGTTTTAATTACTTAGTATCTAAACACACCTGTGGCTCTGCCTTGGCAAACAGCTGTAGAAGCCTAGGCTCTTCATCAACACTGGCATCATCAGAGACAGCTCTCCTTTTGTTTGTGGCTGCTGTTCTGACCAATCATCACTCAGGCTTTCCCAAATCCTGTAGCTACAGGACTCTGCTTAAATCCAAAGCATGAATCTCTCCCTCTGGGAATCCGCCACAGAGAACACTGTTGGCAGTATTTTTTTTTAATGCCCATTAAAATCCATTCTGAAACCATTTTATATCTTGGATGAAAATGGCATCACATTAGCCCTACCAGACCTGTCCCTGAAATTTAGAAGAAAATTGTGCAGAAATACAGAGTTAATTTACTCAAGTAAGCACACACCTGCTTTTGAATCACAGAATGGTTCTATTTTCATCTCAGCAGCTGTCCCTGGTTCTGAGCTACATAAATGAATAATGCATTTAATATGTTATTAAATGGGGCTGCTACCTCCATAATAAAAATGCAACTTATGATTATGTTGGACCTGAGGTCTGAATATTACAGGGATGCATTTAGTTGGAAAAGCATTTTTCAATCTGCCACAAAGAAAAGTGCTTTGTAATGGCAAGGGAGTCTTTTTACAATTACTGAAAAGAAAACATTCTGCAAACGCGCCTTTGGTATTACCTGTGGCTCATCAGTAGACAGGGTCTTATTACTCCAACAACGCAGTTCCAGCTCTTCTCTACCTTCCCATCTCCATATGCCTCCTAAACTTCTACTTTCTTTGATTTTACTTTCTATGCTGCCTGAAAATCTTTAAAAAAAAGAAGGCTATATATTGTGTTTGTAAAACTAAAACTGGAAAGAAACAGTAAAAGCGGCCACCTCCCATGATTTTTCGACTTAATATTTGTCCTCTGAGGTTGTGGTGATGTTACTGACTGCAGATGTCCATGGCCATTCACTGTATAATAAGATGATGTTATCGCCTGATGGTGGCATATCTGAATTCAGCATGTCTTTTTTTAAATCTCTTTTTAATTTATAGAAAAACTTGATATTTATGGGTTATAATATTAATGTTTGATCTGTGGAGACATGGTCATTGCTATGTCCCATATTTCACCAATAGATCCAATCTTTTGTGACAAGAATGTCAAAATTGAGGTTCTTCTTTAAAATGTTTATATCCATTGACAAATGTTACTCTCACTTTTAATCAGGGAAGACCCCTCCACTTCTCCCCATTGAACTCAACTGACTGCAAGGCACACTCATGGATGTCCTAGATGATGGGAATGAGTAGCAGAAGAGTGCTTGACCCTAAACGAGACCTTTGTGATATCCCTGCAAGTCCCAGAGGACACTGTCGAAGAAGGAAGGACTGTAAAAGTCAGAAGATAGATAGTACTTCAAATGCTATCTTTGTACCCAATGCTTCCACCTAAATCACCAACTCACATTAGCTTCCAGTATCCATACTGTGTCTGCACACAACCTGGGCATTTTGACACTTCGGTATGCATGGAAGAGGGGCACTGAAGGCACTAGTTCTCGCTGTTGAGCTAATCACTATTGATAGATTCAAGAGAAAGGGCACCATTGCTTTCCAATGAATACCTACTGACAGTCCAATAGACTCTAATGGGTAGTTCCAATTCAGTGGCCAGTCACATACAGATGAGCCTGAAAAAACTAAAT